TGGAATGCAGGGGAAGTTGAAAATATATTTAACGAAAGTGAAGTGGCCTATATCTTACGGCCCCCATGTAAAGTAAGGGAACCCCCCTAAAATCAGCTACGTGAATCAGTAGACATTGTCATTGAAAGTATGCTGGACAATAACTGTAATTGCTGCGTTGGACTGTATCAGTATGCATGGACAGTAATGTACATATGTCTGATCAGTGTATTTATGAATATATTATGACTGTACGACTTACAAGCTGGTCATATTCAGCAAATTTTCTCCCAGACCGTAGGCTCGCATTATCCGGCGGATTTGCGGCGAAAAGTTGAAAGTTTTGCATAATTTTGCGGCACAGAATGGGCCATTTTGGGTAAGATGTCCGCGGTGACAATATGAGTCCGCGCGAGAGGGAGAAATTTCGCTAAATTTTACCAGTGTGTCACCCAATTTGTTCCCTTTATTACATTACCACAAGGTTTCTTTCGCACTTGACACAGATATGATGCCAAAAAACATTGACCTTGTCCATATTGGCATGATTATGACCAATGGCAATGGGAACACTCATCTAAATAAACAGCAAATAACAACTTACAAGACAATCTGGACACTCCGAAAACGGTTAACATTTTAATTCGACGTTTCGACTAGCTTGCAGTCATCATCAGGAATGACGCTACTGAGAAATACAAACTCTATATATTAACAGTAACTAGAGGCCTAAATAAAAAAGTCTATCAAGATTTCTAGTAGGTCTCTAGCCCAAAATCTTTAAATTATTGTAACATATTTTAAGTAGCTTTTTTTATATATATACATGGGAAAACAATAAAAAAAAAAAAAAGATCAAATGAAATATGATATATGTTAGTTAAAAATTATGAGTTCCTTAGAGGCTTTACATCCGTGGTTAAATTCCGGTCTCTGGCGATGAATATATAGAGATTCTCTGAAAAGTAATAAAGACCCATGTCTGGATTTGTCTAACATCAATCAATCAATCAATCAATCAATCATTTATTTACCATATTCAAATATTTACATGCGGGATAGAATATATATTTAAACAGACGGATACATATTATAATGAAAAAGCTATAAATTTAATTATAAAATAGAAGGAAAGAGTAAAATGTAATATGGATGGAGATTGGCAGAAGAAAACTCCAGGGAGTTTGTAGAGAATGCCAATCACTAATTTTACCAAGGTCGAGTACAAACTGAGCAGGGTTTCTTATCCAAAATAAACTAGTAATTCAGCTTTTCATCATTTCATAACATTATCTGGGCTAAAACATATAGGACAAATCTAGAAAAAAACGTATGATACGAATAATTGGTAACGTTGGATTTAGAGACCACACAAAGCCCTTATTTTTTAAGCTGAAATTATTGACTGTTTATGACATAAATAAATAACGGAGCCAAACTGGAGCCTTTATATTTAGATGCATTAACTACCCTCGTACTCTTCCACCTATCTTCCAAAACCTACTTTGTTCATAATGATGAAATTCATAACTATAATACCAGAACTGCCAGCAAACTACATGTCACCCAAGTAAGAACCACAACTAGAAAAATGACCCTAAGACAAAGCGGGACCCTATTCTGGAATTCGCTTGATGACAAAAACATTAAAATCATTTCAAAAAAAGCTCAAATATTTATTATTTGACAATATTGTATATATGGTAGCACAAGCGTGCAGTATAGTGATCGACGTGCTGTGGCTGAAATTAATTACTTAATTTTATTTATAACACCAATGGATTTTGACATTTTTAGAGAAACGCTATTGATATGTGGCTTCTAATCAAGATTTTCATGAATATGAACACCAAGGAATGTTATAGAACTAACCTGTTCGATGAGTTTGTTATCTATCTTAATATCAGTTGTTTTTGTATAGTGTTTGTTTCTAGCACAGAAAATAATACATTTGGTTTTCTTCAGATTTAACGAAAGTTTGTTTGATTTGAACCAGGTGGCTATAACACTGAGCTCTTGGTTAGTAACAAGGCATTTTTTAATACCATGGACTGGTGGGGCATTTGCCCCACTGGGCCCCTTCCTCTGCCCCACCACTGAAGAAAAATACTGGCCAATTGCCCCAAAGCCAGGGCACTAGGACCTGTATTGAGTAAATGAGTTTAACATCGAAAAGAAGTTTAAAAAGCAGAATTTGTTATGTTGTGTTTGAATGTTTTATAGCATGCAATTTATTACAAATTTCACCAATAAAACTTTTTTTGAGAAGCTGAGATTTTTTTAAAATGTGTTCTCAGAATGCAGGAAATGCTATTTGCGAGACCTAAACTTCTGGGGGCATGGCCCCAGACCCCCCTAGTTAACTTGTGCCTGCAGTACTCGGCTCACACCATCGGCAATCACATATTATCGTGGGGGAAGGGCAAGGAAAATGGGCCCTTTCCCAGTTTTGCCCCACCACTGGACAATCCTTAAAAAATGCACTGGTTTGAAATCTGTATCAGTTTAGTAAGGTCTTTCCCTGAAGAAAAGAGACTGGTGTCATCTGCAAACTGGATTATTTTTAAAAGGGAGGAGCAGTTGGAAATATCATTCACATATATAAGGAATAATAGAGGTCCAAGATATCCTACAGTTGTTGAAAATAATTGATTCAGAAGTGAAGTCGTCTAGATTAAATAGTGTTTGAGGAAGATTATTTTAAATAGCGTTCTATAATACAGGAAGTGTTCGCATGAATCTATGTGTTTGTAAATCTCTGATTCTTTATTGCGGGCATGCCCTTTTAGCCTTGTCATCAGACAGCGACCTGTCTTTCCGATGTAGGGAGCTTGGCATCCAGGGCAGCTACATTTGTAGACTACACTACTTTGTAGTTCTTTAGGAGTCCGGTCTTTCATGCTTAGGAAGGTGTTAGTGCTGGTGGTGTCGTAAATAGTGATGAATTGAGCGCGTTGTTTCAGCTGAGCAAGCGTGTTATTTTAGTGGTGCAGGATTTAATTAATATGTTTCCTCTTTTACCGATGAATGGTATGGAATCCAGATTTTGGGGGGCTCTGTGACATTGTCTTTGGTGTTGATGGTGACGGTGGTGTTGTCATTAGTACTAGTGTGTCTAATTAGTACTAGTGTGTCGTGTACGTATAGCGTGAGTAGACACACTAGTACTAATTAGACCATCTGACATACCTATACAGTACTACAAAAAGTCAATTCTTTTCACCCACAAATTCAATTTACACACGACGAATTCACTGACAATAACGACATCTTCCTCGGACACGTAAATTTATCGCAAGTCAACACACACTGGTCAATACGTCCATCTCTCCAGTTTCACTCCAAGGTACAGAAAAACAGCATGGCTTAGAGCACTTGTCTATCGCGCACATAAGATATGCAGTAACAGCGTGTTACTCAAAACTGAACTGCAGAACATTGCCCAATTTGCGTCATGGAATGGTTACCCCCGTCGTCTGGCAAATAAACTCATAGAGTCCTTCACACGGCCAAAGCCAAGCCCTAATGACAACGCTACCATCACCATCAACACCGAAGACAATGTCACAGAGCCCCCCAAAATCTGGATTCATCTACCATTCATCGGTAAAAGAGGAAACATATTAATTAAATCCTGCACCACTAAAATAACACGCTTGCTCAGCTGAAACAACGCGCTCAATTCATCACTATTTACGAGCACTAACACCTTCCTAAGCATGAAAGCGGACCGGACTCCTAAAGAACTACAAAGTAGTGTAGTCTACAAATGTAGCTGCCCTGAATGTCAAGCTTCCTACATCGGAAAGACAGATCGCTGTATCAAGATGACAAGGCTAAACTTTAAAAGAGCATGCCCGCAGTAAAGAATCAGAGATTTACAAACCGACATAAATTCATGCGAACACTTCGTGTATTATAGAACGCTATTTAATCTTCCTCATACACTATTTAATCTAGACGACTTCACTTCAGAATCAATTATTTTTAACAACTGTAAGATATTAGACAAATCCAGACATTGGTCTTTATTACTTTTCAAAGAATCTCTATATATTCATCGCCAGAGACCGGAACTAAGACTACGGAACTCATAATTTTAACTAACAGATATCATATTTCATTTGATCTTGTATAATATAGTTTTGTATTTCCACAGGTATTTCTTAGTGCGTCATTCCTGATGATGACTGCAAGCTAGTCGAAACGTCGAATTAAAATGTTAACCGTTTTCGGAGTGTCCGTTGTTTTGCATTTTGTAAAATTACTCAGTGGTAACCGTAACTTTTGGCCAAATAACAACTCTAAGCCACATTTACTAATTCCAGATTACTTTAATTATAGATAACTGTAGTTGTAAATCTGAATATGAAGTCGATTGTTGGAAACCTGTAGTGCACTGGAATGAACCATGCCCCGTATGTACGACAAAAAACGGGCTGGAGGTTAAGGAACAACTCACCCCCAACATCAGACCACCAGCAGCGCTGGGTATTGGAGAACATACCATTAACTATACATTCACATATAAACTGCCATCAGGAGGCTTAAGAAAGACCAAATGTTTCGCGAAAATCCGGGTAAATATAGGTATGTCTACATCAAAAGCAGCCTTTTTGTTTGGATCTTAATATGCATAAATAGATTGATCAAATTTTGATTAAATTTAAATAAAAATTGGATGAGAAATTAGCAAACGTTTGTCTATAGCCCACTGTATAATTTATGCATGATACATGCCCTCTAGTTAGGGTTGTTATTATTAAGCTAGATTTTTAGGGCTAGCATTTTATAAGAGTTAAGGTTATCATAAACTTGCACTGCTTAAAACTCCCACAAAATGCAAGAAATAGCGTTATAGGGCGTTAGAAACTCAAACTTTTTTCGTGGGGAGCATGTCCTTGGACTTAGCAGATGTTTCTTGGGCCTTCGGCAATCACATCCACCACGCACAACCGGACCACTTCCAAATTGGTGGCCAGGCATTTAAAATATTTTAAACCTTAGGTTCATCAGACTGTATGAAAGATATGTGGATTCTTTGGGATAACTCATGGTCAGTGGGGCAATCATTGTTTAAAGATAAAATCAGGCCGTTTCTAAAAGGCCTCATCAGAAGTGCACTGCTGAATGTTGGTCCAAATGGTACACATATTGGTATTTTGACTTTCAGTACACAGGCGCAGACTAGGGTGTTGCTGGAACTTGGAGAGCTGCAAGCTGTGGATGCACTAATCAACTACCTCGATAGTCTAAACTACAATAACATATCTGGAGATGGTACTCGGACTGGAATGGCATTGAAACTAGCTGATGAGGTGAGATCGTGTTCTTCTATACAGAATATGGTGAAGCTTTATTGGGTAATCCTTACTCATACATACACCTTAGTATATGTACATCAACTTGCGGTTAGAGTTCGACATGTAAATGACTTCTCCAGGTAGCTCAGTCGGTTAAAAGTTAGTGACATCACGTCCTAACTCTAATTAACCTCAAAGACTTAAAGTTTCCTGTCCATCTAATGGTGGTACACGGCATTAAAATTAAACTAAGTATATTTTCTGTTTAATGTAGAGATTTTCCAAGCAAAGTCCACGCAATTATCGGCCATATGTAGAAGATGTAGTCATGATTTTTACAGGCAGTAAACCGATCAGACACCGAGGAGAAGACACATTTGGCGACAAATACAACAGTACTCGTTATGGCGAAGGATTACTTGCTAAGGATCGAGCTCAAAGTCTCAAAGATAATAATATCATCGTGGTTGGACTGGTAGTGGGAAGGGAGAATAAGTTGAACAAATTCAGAGACAATGTTAAGGAGTGGTCGACGGAAGGGAAATACTTTGAAACAAACAAAGATAGTCTGCAGCGGAGTATCATGTACAGACTCATAAAATCATTTATGAGTGTTTATTGCATCGCACCAGGTAAGAAGGGTGGACAGGGGCGTAGGAAGCTTCGAAAAGTTGGGGGGGGCAGGCTTTGAGGGGCACTTTTCGAAAAAAAGAGGGCATCTAAAAAAATTTTCCCGGAAATGTTGGCGACGGGGGGCGGGGGGAGGTCATCTTAAAAAAATTTTTCGGACATACCAAAAAATTTTCCGGATATATGATATTTTTCCCGGAAATTAAAAACTTTTTCTGGAAATAACATCAACCACCAGCCTGACTGAATTTAGGCAACTGAGCATCCACAAAACAAAAACAACTTCAGGCTAAAATGAATCTGGTTAATCTTAAAAAATCCTAAATTTTGTGCTTTATCAGGCTAGTATAGGCAGGTATTAGTGAGGTATACATACTTATTTTAATGTTACAAATGCAGAAACATGCACAATCTGTTGTTTTATATAGTTCTCAACAAGGATACATTTTATCAAATACTAGGCTGTATTTTTTACTCAAGATTTTGTTGGCATCTCACTGGATTAAATAATAGTTGAAGTGTCCCGAAGATGGAAATTATCTAGTGGAAATTTATATACATTTATTGGACCTATATAACCAGAAACAGTTGTGAAAAATGCAACTATACTGTAGTTGGCATTTCACTTAATTGAATAATAGTTGAAAGGTCTTGAAGATGGATATTATTGAATGGAAATTTATATACATTTATTAGACAACTGGCCTCTGTAGCTCAGTTGGCCGAGAGCGCTGCAACGAAATCGCAGGGCCAGGTTCAATTCCCGCCAGGGAGGTTAGGCCTAATAAATGATAAATTTCCACTCGATAATTTCCATCTACAAGACCCTTCAACTGTTACTTTTTTTTAGGATTTTGGACATCTCACTGGATAGAACTATTTCCGGAATAATAATAATAATAATAAACTTTAATTAAAGTGTCTATACATTATTTAGCAATAGTAGCTAATTGGGGACACTATTTATCTATATATAATATCAACAAATCTACTATATAAATATATATGTAAAAATAATAAGTGCTAAGTGCTGCATAATATTCCGCATTAAGTGCTGCATAAAATGCAGCAATTACAGTTATTGTCCAGCATATTTTCAATGTCTAATTTGCGAATCCTGTTCTTAAATATCGCAAGGCTGGATGAGCTTTTAATATCGCTATGCAACTTTGACCATAGTACTGGGCCAAAGTAACGTAGCGAATGCTTACCAAAACCAACTGTTTGAAATCTGGGTATATCAAAATCACTGTTTCGCAATGGGTTTCTGTGCTGTTTATTGCACTCTTGCTCCAATGGTCTCGTTTTCATGTGGTTATTTTCTCGTGTGTCATGCGCAACAGGGTTAAGGATATAGGGTTGAGATCTGGCTCATGATCAAAGAGAAACCATATTCGTATACGAACCTTCATGTGCGCCTGCCTTGCTAAAACAGGCAAACATGGAAACGAGGCCATTGAGGCATGCTTAATTCGCATGAATTAATGACCTAATTTGCATAATGTCATAATAATATATTTAATAACAATATGCAAACTAGGTACAGATATATGTACCCCAAAAACCAAGGTATCCCAAAAACCACATGCTTGATTTATAGTCATTATGTAGAAGTTAACAGGGAGGTTGACTAATGATGTACCATTTTGCGAGAGAAACGCTAGGAAGAATTTTTGTGACGCTTTATTCACCAAAATGTGTTACCTGAAAATTAAAAAAAAAACATTGATAGCTTGTATAATTTGAAACTTTAAGATTAAGTTGGCAAAATATGATTGTTATAATCGTTTTGGGGTTTGTTTAGTCGAAAAACCTTGAATAGTACGTTATAACATTATATTTCAAACAAAGTTACATGCATTTTTGCGCATGTGGGTTTTGGGGTACATAGACACAATTTTACCAGGTCTTTTACAATAATTACATGCAATAAATATATGAGAACTGTCAGGAAGAACACACTTTAGGTAAGTTTACTTGAATACAAAAGCATTTATAAATTGAGTATATTTTAAAAGAATTATATAGTGATATGCTTTTTGAGTGGTTTTGGGGTACATATATTATCCTGTAAATGGATAAATTAGGCATGCGTGATACGGTGATAGGCATTGGTGCCAAAAAATCTCCAGATACTATTTCAAGGACTTAAAATTGACTAAATTTTCTGATATTTGGTCCATTGATAAAACACATAACAAATATATCTCGCCCATGAATTCAAAATGCATTTTAAACTTTTAAATTTCGCGCACAACCTATTTTTTATGCTGCTAAAAAGGACACCCCACCCCGGCCCCCTGCTCTGGAAAAGTTATCTTTACGAAAATTTTTGTTTATTCTACATTATAAGTACCCAAACAATCTATATTTATCAAACATTTCATTAAATGGACGGTTTGTGAAATTGAGAGCCCTTTCAAAATTGTTTACTTTTTTATATACCCTGTAGTTAACTGCAAATGAAAGGTTGTTCAATGTTGCAGCAATAATAATCTTCTTAATTGAACTACAAGATCTTCTCTGCAACATTTGAGTTATGTTAATTAACCAGCATTTGAACTTTCGTTTAGCCTAGTGGCTTATTTCAACACATAACCCGCCTTCCATCATGTAAATATATAACCCCCTGTTCAGGAGGTAGTCGTCACAAAGTCGAAGGTTAATTAGCTAAATATTCTACGTCTACATTCTTGGCATGGGCAAATTTATATAAATAACTTCAATGCTTATAATTTCTTACTTTTGTATATGTATAATTATAATGCTAGTCACATGCCCTTTGTTAACGAGTAGAAAATTCAATTTGTGTTCACAGAGAGACAAGCCATCCCGGCTATAGGTGGGATTTCAGTCAAGTGAGATGATATTTTCCATGTGAAGGTTTTATGACCGGAAGGAATTTTTTTCCGATTGTGACCTATATTAATGTAGTATTGTACAGAGTGTATAAAAAAAGTAAACCAACTTTAGTGTCCTCTTAATATTAAGAACACTGATCTAATGTTTCCACATTGCTAAAAATTAGGGTTTTAGCTTTTGTATTACATCTTTTTCGTATCATTCCAAGCACATTTGACCAAATACGAGCCGATTAAAAATTGCGGATCAAAAAACCACATATTCCACGCTAGCTCACTCCAGTTTCATTTTCAGCTTCGTGCATGAGTTGTGGCCGAATCATAGAGGCATTTGTCGACCAAGGAGGGAAGGCCTTAATCTATTGGATAGAACCAAGTCCTACATATATGCGGTGTATTAGCAGCCGGTCAATACTCAAAAGCAAAGACGTGCAACCACGTGGCGTCAGCTCTCCATCAGAATTTGGTGTTGGAAGACATACTGTCACATACACGTACGGTTATCTGATAAGATGTAAAAAGGTCGTAAAACTACAATGTTCGATCCAAATTAATATCAGAGGTATGTAGGAAAGCGTGGGGTCAAATGCGGTTAGTTTAATGAAAACATGTTGTGCAATGCAGTTTTAATGTTTAAGGACAAAAATTTTCCCCGCCATTACCATGGGTTTATTGATAGATGAATGGAAGGTAAATGGAAGGAACACATCTTCCACAGATGCGAGCAGATAAAATCAATCTTAAAACGATAAATAGAAAATACGAGTATCTCTGAGGCTTCATTCTTTAAGATGCATTGAAACTCCTCACTCTATTGCATGCAATTCGCCGAAACAAATTTCAATCTGTTATTCAGTTTCTCTGACTAAACATTAATATCAATATCTCAACATTAATTTCAGGACAAAATACATTACACCAAGGGGAGCAGGTGGGGCTTGCAGGCTCCCCCCCCCGCCCCTCTGTCTCGTACTGCTATGACTTAGACCTTAGTTGTCCAGCACATCATGAGAATTAAGCAACCACACCCCGTGTAAACGACTTCAAATATTAAATCAAAAGTATTATATTTTACATTTTATAAGGGATTTCGGTGGCGCAATCGGCGGCGTCTCGTGGCACCACCATTTAGGGGTTTTGGTGATGATATTACAAAGTACTTACAAACAGAGGTCTCACTTCAGGTTAATTTTTTCAGCAAGTGTCCTAAAGAGAGACCGTCACCTCCCTGAAAGCATATTGAAATTTAATGTTCTGGGGGGAGGGTAAATGCCTCTATTCAGGGCACTTGCTAAGAAACTACCTTACGGTTTTCCCGCAGAAGCGACACCTCTATATGTAAGTACTCTGTAGTGAAATCGTCAGAGCAAGCGCCTTTCACCTCTTTGCGAATCAGCATGAGCTCCACCTTTGAATTTACTATATGAGTAAATTGTTAAACACGTCCGAAGTTATCAATACAATAAATTCGTGACACATGTGGAGCCCTAACCCCTAACTCTAACCTCTAACCCCTAATCTTAATCTTAATCTAACCCTAATCTAATCTTTATTTGACATTAATCCAATTTTTTCTTCGGGTCCTCCCACATGGAATGTTGACAGGGTGGGTGCGATTAGCCCCTTACTGACCCTTAAGAAAAACTTAAGAAAAGCTTCTGTTATGATGGAGCTAAATTGTGGAACTCATTATCTCCAGATATGCGTGATTCAGATAGATTACCAACATTCATAAATACAATTGACGCTCATAATTTCTAATATTCGTATAGGTAATAGTGCATTTAGGGATTAATAGTACGAGTGACGTTTGGAAATTTTGACATCCAAATATCGTATTCTCTCGCCAAAGTCCAGTCCTGCCAGACTTTCAACCAAAATTTGGTGCTTTTGTTTGTATTTTCATTTAGTTCTTTTGTTCAAGCAAAATTTGGTGCTTTTGTTCGTATTTTCATCTAGTTCCTCCACAGCAATTTCATTTCACGCTTGTGTTTAATCTTTCCTGACAGGCCCAATTCGCGTCGATCGCGAGCGATCGACGGCTCGAAATTTCATACTTTCGGTTCAGTGCATGCTATGAAGACAGAAATACCACCATTCGATTCAGAAATAAAATATCAACTAGTTCCAAACGATAGTTATAGTCATTATTAGTATTGTAACGATTTATGGGCCTTTGAAAGTCAAAACGATCATATTGTATCAAATTATGCAATTGTCTGAACAAAAATACAGATTATTATAGACTAGCCATACCTTTCGCCGAAAATAACTTCGGCCCCATCGAACATATCGTCTTTGTAATAGTCTTGTTCGAATCCCCATTAAATAGTGTTTTTGGAGTGTTATTTGCAATCCTAAATCTGCAAATCTGTATCTTTTATCAATATATTTCCATTTCTTGTCCGACTGTGAGCTCGAAGTGAATTAATCCCAACCGGAAGTACGACCGAAAACCGTCAAAACAATGCGGCGTTTGTATCGTATGACCCTGGAAAGGCCAGAAATGGATTCGCAATTCAAATTGCACCTACACGCGTGAGTTTGACGTCATCCCGGCCAAAGGAGCTTCTTATTGGCCAATTATTGCGCAATGTACGCAAGTGCGAGTAAAACCCGATATCTTGAAAAATTCAAAATAAATATTTCTAGTCGGCGTATACATACGAAACTTTCTACACGAAAGCGCTTGAATACAGAGAGTATTTTACACGTATAGCCGTTTAGCAAATGACGAAAAGTTCAAAGGGTATTCAAGATCTTGTGGATATGAAATTTAGAATCTTTGGCCAAGCGGTGAGTAAATATATGATTGTTTCGCTTTGTGTAATGTTTTGACGGCACTTGACCCCCCGTTCGAAAGGTTATTTTATGAGGATTTCAATGGTGGCATTTATTTAAAAGGGGGGTAAATACTCGCCGAGACATTTATATTAGAAAAATTGAATCGAAACTCTATTACTGTTTAAAATTGTGAAATTGCAGGTTCACATATAGCAAAAATGACTTGCATGATTAGAAAGCTTACCAAAAACTACATATAAGACTTTTAAATGGCTGATTGATTTTCCAAGCGGTTTTCCAGTTATTGCTATATAAAAACGTGATAAATAGGCAAAAATCCCGCCAAAGTCCTGGACACTAGCCCTAAACATATTTTCAACCGCTCATAACTCCAGACGAGTTGGAAAATCAAAGTAACTGCTTAAATGTCTTATATGCAGTTTTTTGTAAGCTTTCTAATGACGCTTGTCATTTTTGCTATATGTGAACCTGCAACTTCACAATTTTTAATTGTATAAAAGATTAATCAGAGAATATAAGAAATCCTATATTTTACGCCGTCAGCATCAATTTTGGTGATGCCTCCATGTCTAAGATTCATTATCATGTTAAAGTATACAGTTCCTCTGAATTTTGTGCTTTGTTCACAAAGTGCATGATTTTCTCAAATATCTGTGCATATCCGCTGGACTACTAATGGACTTTACCGTTACCGCGAGCTTCGTGCCTTCGACAGGTCCGCGACTTGAATTAGTCATCTCTCTCGTCAAATACTTGCCCTGAAAACGCAGGTAAAACAACTCTGAATCATATAAATCACAGCAGGTGTGTTTCTGAACATTATTGCTAGAAAAGTAGGAAGAACTAAGCGACTAAAAGAGAATAAAGCTCTTAAACAAGAAGAAGTTGCAAAGTATTTCATGAATTTATAGTCCCCCGCGCGTTTCCAACAACAGTCGTTATATTTATATAACTTAACAGAAACAACTCATAAACGTTTAAAATATACCTAAATTTAATATTAACCTGTCTATATCTGCACAGCATAGCCATTTTATTTCGACAACGTTCCATAGAAGCGAAATTATGGACTAGTTTAAAATGCATATTTGCTAAACTTCGTGTCAAAATGACACCTCGAAGCTCCGAGCAGAAATTTTCAAATTTGCCACG